TGGTAGGAACAGATGATGGTCTGCAAAGAACTGAAGAAGTCGATCGCCGTTATCTGTTCGCTGGCAGGGCAGAGCACAATGACCACCCAGGTAAGCTTCCGATGCACTCAGTTTTCCGACTTAAGCGTTAAAATCACCTGAGAGAATAACTGTATCGGAGCTTTGACTCAACCGAATGAGTTTAGTGAGTTTATCATAAAAGTCGTCCTTTTGTGCGTCAAAACTGCAGTTGGTCGGTGCATTCTCAGTGATGATGAACAAACACCATTTGGTGTTGCTTCCTTTCCGGACGCTGATTGATCCCCGGAGCCGCATCGCACATAACCGACTGTTGACGGGGATCCAATCGAGTAGTGCGGCCTCGGCTGTATTGTTGAGTACAATGCTCACGCCACGCTGGCCTACTGAACGGGCTTCGACATCACCTGACGTACGAAGGAAGAACCTCGAAGACAACCCCGGTGCACTTAAGTGGCATATCGCGCTAGGATCCTGGATTCGCGTCTTCGGTACGAAGCAGACATCAATGCCCAAAGAATCCATTGTACGTGCCAGACACGCTTGTTGACCTACCTGTATCAGAGTCCTCAGATTCAGAATCTGGGATCTATTTCGTGGTAACGTGCGTGCCTTGCTACTTGGCAACCAGCTTTGGCGAGTGACGAACAAGTTGCCTGAGGGAATGTTACGAGTTAGAAGAAGGGGGTAAAGAGGGAGGGTTGGGTACGGAAGACAGAGTTAAGAATCTGTCTATACCCTGTATTAGAACTACTGATGCACTTAAACATTCGTACACATCTCCCAAAATCATCAAACTGGGTTGGGGAACTATGGAAATCTAATAATTTCTTTGTATCTTTTGTCGCATAACAGTAGGTGTGAACCTCCTAGTCTCCTGGAGGTAATATTTAATAGACCCAAACCGGGCTTCTGTGTTCGGGCAGCAGAGTTTGCATCGAGGAATTTGATTGACCTTCCAGACTACCAAAGTGACAGAGCACTGTAAACGTACACAAAGGGTTGTGACGGTTTTCTTGCTTTTGGAAGCGGTTACAGTTATTTTATATGTAATTTGTCTCATTCAAGTTGGTTTTACATTTATCGATAATATCAAGAGTTACTACTTTTGTCATACATTTTATTTCTTTGCTTCGTTTTCTTTTAGAATTTGGCTATCACATGCCGCTAGGGCAGAACAAATCAAACTTTGGGCCCAGACTCGGGTACAAAACAGATGCAGACGAAATAGCTCCCGTACCACCATTTCAAGGATCTAAAGAGGACAAAATCCTAACTCGAAAGCGTCAGGCATTATTTCTTCGCCAAACTTTATTGATTGCTGAGCGCTTTAGTCAGAATCCGGTTACTCCAGCGATGTTGGCTGCCGCTGTAAGTTGAATTGATGGTTGTGCAATGGCAAACTCATAATACGGATTGTTCAAACCTTTGCAGAAAGATCTTTTTGTCATAGTAGTAGCTAATTTTTCACCTTGAGAATTATTTTCACCCCCTTTTGATTCCTGCAAATAATCCTTCATGACAAAATTAAATAACTCCGTCTTGGTACATGGTTTCTCAATATGCATGTTTTTAGCTGTCAATATTCTTTAATCGTTTTCATAATTGTTCTACTTATGAGTAGTGTATTCGTATTCAAAAAGAACATTTCTGTGGGCATTTTATATGCCACGCAACATAAGCGACAATCTGCAAGATTCCTTTAATGTTCCGTCGCCCGTCGTTGACCGAATACATTTAGTGCATATACTGCTAATATACAGATATTTCACGAAGCACAATACAAATTGCTTGGTCTTGTTTATATCATTCGCGACAAAATGTGTTTATTGCATATTGTGACCACATTTCTGCCGATAAAAATAAAAGTAGTCGTTATTGGTTGAAAATGAATCTATCCAACATTCACACAGTAATCAAAAGAAGAATTTGTGTAGCTTTTGTATGCATGTTCGGTGATTTAGCGATAGAATGAAGAAAAGGAATTGGCAGCGTCTAAGGCGTATTTGTTGGGTTCTTACACGAGTAGCAAGAGACCGTGTGATGTATGTACAGATACGTTAAGGTGGTTAAGAATTACTCACCTCATTAATTTGTGACCTGGAACATTAAGAGCATTAGGACAGAATAGCTTTGTAGTGATATTGGCATTTATAGATTTAGAAATTGGATTTATGGTAACGTGACCCCGACAGTCGGGAATGGAACATTTCTTCAGGGATACGGTAAGTAAATGGGTCATCGCGTCAACCAAGGAAGGTGTGTTGAGCTTCATTAACATGGAGAGAGATGACCGGAGCCAACACGATATATGAAAATACCGCTGTTTGTGCCTCAATCGTTGTACGACTGCAATGATGACTAAACCATTTTTGAATGGGGTTGAGGCAGTTTGTCAAGCCGTCCAAATGCGAAGCAAGGTATATCTCAGAGCTCTTCACTGCGCAACCATTGTTTTTCCAATTTGCACTTTGTATGTGTGAAGGTGAATAGGATGTACAAAATAAGACGGGTGCAAATTTTATTGACGGAGGTTGATATATCCCAAATATTTTCTGTCATGTTGACGCTAAGTCAAATGAGCGTGTGCTACAGAACGAAAAGAGCAGAAATCTATCGTGATCTTTTGCTATTCAACAAGAAGGTGGGGGCCGTCATTTTGTAAGACCACCTGGATGTAGCGACATTTCGCGAATCGCACGGTAAGGACTTTGTAATACAATGCTAATCAAGTGAAGTTTTATTGCGCATTGTCGGTGTCTGTTCCAAATGGTGACACTTCTCCGGAAAATTGTGTAACACTACTGTACAGTGAAGAAGTCGATAATGCTGCAACTTCAGCATTTCAACTTGTTTTCTGGTGCGACCCCAGTCATGCGCTCAATCCCGATCTATCTGCTTGCCGTTCCCATGCTACAACTCGATCCACATATCGCTGCATTTCAACGGTATTCTATCTGGCCCGTATTCTAACTGGCAAGATGAAGATCCGAAATGAGCTAATTTTAAGCCTACAAAATAAACCTCTATTCAAGTTTTATCATTTTTGTAGATGAATTTTAATTTTTTGTCTCATGGTAAACATATTCTTTGACTAAAATATACGCATAGTTCCTGCATAAGTCATTACAATATAATTCAATACAACCATTGGATGTCAAAATTCAGTGGAGAAAGACAGAAGGATTGTTATTGTCCAGTTCAAACATCCTCGTTGTCCATGCACTTTAACAATTAAAAAACGCATGCTTGGTACAATTGTAGCTTATCCTCATCAGCGGTTTTCCTTGCTGATCAGGTTACTTCGTTTTCAGTGCTTATCCAGGTCCCATTTTACAATGTAATAACGGTAAGTATTATTAGCAATGGTATTATTTAGCAACCGGCCTGAAGCAGACAAGTTAATAACCATATGTACTGGACACATAATAAAAGACCCTGAGTATGACCAAATGGAGGAGGGTAGATCTTTTGTTTTTATTTAACTCCGTACTCCTTTCCGTGATTTTTTCTTATTGATTGTTAGTTATGGAGGGAGTCACTATTACCCACAAAAAAACGTTTATTTCAGTCTTCTAAATTTTGGGTCATAGCATTTTCTTTGAATTTGGCCTCCGTCAAAAGTGCTCGCCTATTATAAAACCATCCAAGGTTGAGTAAGTTCACTGTAATTAACATCCAAACGGCAATCTATGAGAAATCGCCTCACATGAAAAAATGAGGTAACAATCAAGGCTCCTTACTGGCAATGGTACAATTTACTCTATAATCTGTCTTGTTATATTTTCGCATTTGGTTCACAGTTACTTGTGAGTAGCAGTGTGAGATAATTGGTTTATACTTTGAATAGAAGGAAGCGAAGAACTCCTTTGGATTATTCTTTGTGAAGCTTCCATATTGATATACAACAACAAAATGACAACAGAAGTCAAAAATAACATTAAGATTCTTATCGGAGGGGATTGATTAATCCAATTACGCAATTGAACCAGTTCTGCCGACTAACGGTCGAATACTGAGATCCAGGATCATTGGTCTACCTGGTTGAAGAAAGGACCATCACAAATTATCCGAATGTCGTTTAAAGTTACTCACTGAGTCCGTCTAAACAATTGAAACAAATTATGCTATGCACAGCTGAAGCGGTAGCTCTCCGAATTCGCCATTCCAAACTGTACGGATTAAAGTGGATTATCTACACCGTGAGGTGGCCATGCACGACCATCAGCACCACTCTTAGTTTTGACGAGCTTCTGCTTCGCTGCACCTTTGGCGTCCAGTTCCTGTTCAGTGGTCGTATCAACCAAAAGACGGACGGAGTCGCGATGCGATCTCTTCTGGGACCATTGTTGATGGATACATTCGTGGGGAAACTAAAGAGCACAATCACACATCAAAAACTGTCTTCGCGGGAACGTTTACCGGGCTAGCTTCGTAGATAAACCTTTAGCAGAGAAACCCGAGCTACTGGTAGTGTACACGGCTAATTGAAGACTACTATATTTGCAACTGCCGTTCAAAGGTGATAACAGGGCACAGTATCTTGTACGACGAATCATTCAAGCGTTGCGTCAAACGTTTACATCGACTACAATGCCCCTGAA